ATATATATAAACTTATTTTATACATGAATATTAGGAACAAATTTTTTTGAAACAATAATTAATATTAATTAATTTATTCTTGTATTTCACTCTGTGTATTCAAATGTTCATTATCATCAGTATATTTTTTTTTTCTTCTATACTTGTTATTTCTATATTTATATCCTCTTCATACTTTTCTTTACTTGCTGAATTTGTTACTTCTTCTTCATATTTTTTCTTAACAATTATCTAAAAATTTTTTAATTTTTTATACATTGTATTTAAAAATATTAGATTGTGTCAATGATAATATATAATTTTTACATATTTATGCACATGTAACAATTTTGAGCAACTTATAATAATAATCTTACCTTATTTTTTGCACTGTTGCATATTTCAAGGAGATTGTATTTCTTAAATTTATAGTAATTGGGAGCGATAGATAATAAGCAAATCCCACGTATCACTTCAACTATCACAGCTATCTCTGGATTTTTCAAGTCTGCTTTATTACCAGGATTTTTTCTTAAAATTATTTCTGCCAAATCTTGTATAATTTCATCCCTTTTAATGCTATTATTGCTGCGACGACTACAGCATTATTAATTTTATAATTAAAATGTAAAAATTATTAATTTGGCTATACAAGATGCAATTTTAAACTTACTTAAACACAATACTAAATGTCTTTGGTTCTTGAGCAAAATACTTTTCAAACAATTCACTTGCTTTTGTCTTTATATTGTCCATATAAGCTTTACATACAACTTCAATTGGAAGTAATCTTAATAAATATCTGGTACATTGTTCTTTGGTTATATCCAACTTGGAGACAATTTTAGTAACCAATTCTAATGGATTTGGTAAGGTAGTTGTTATGAAAATCATATTTTTAACTCCAGTATCTACTACCTACAGAAAATTATAATATTGATAAATGCATATTGATCCTCAAAGAAAAAAATATGAATATAATGAATATTATGACACAAGTATCACTTGAAATTTTCGAGAAGACAATGGCATTTCACATTCTGTTCTAAGTTCAACAATTTCTTTCTCTAGAGCAGTTGATATATCTTCATCTCGATCAGGATCTTTTATAGATGTATCTGCTTCCTTTTTAGGGAACGTATTATCTGTTGTAAATTTATTTGATGTTTCAGATTCCTTAAAATATCATATTTATTACATATACATACACATATACATATATACATATTATGCATATATTTTACTATAAATATATATATATATATATATATATATATATATATATATTCTGTATTCTGATATTAATGATTTTGTAAATATTAGTGTAATTTAAAAGGTGCATTAGAAATATAAAAAAATTTATTATCGATGAATTATAAACAATTCACACAAACATCTTTTTCGCTTTTATGCTCTTGATTATTTAATGTTTTTTAAAAAAATTTATTGTGCGTTATATAATCAAGATCACATTTCAGTATATTTTACTTACATTATATAAAATAATAAAGCATTAACAGTTAAAAAAATTAACATCTTTTTACATGTCACATTCACTCACTACAATCAAATAATATTAAGATTTTAAGTTAAAATCAAATATATATTTGTGCTTACATCTACTTTGGGAAAAATATATTATCGATTTTATAAATAGAAACTTATGCAACTTTTAATAATAATCTTAAAAAAATTAAACTATATTAAATGTTAATTTTATCGCATAATCTGCTTATTAAATCATAATAATTTATAATATTAATCTAATTTTTGATCGGAAAAACAGGATTGACACTAGAACAGTACAGGAACATGTTTAAAATGATTTTCATATAATAAAAAAGAAGATATATCTTTAATTATATTTATCTAACATTTATCGCACACACATGTTCTAATTTGTATAAAAACTGATTTTTACATAAAAATGTAATAGCAAAAAATAAAATAAATTTATTTTAATAAATCTATTTCAGATGTGTATTTTGACTATTATATATTTTGTTATAATTATCAATATATTGGAATAATATATTTGTGCGCAAAATATGAGATATATTTGAAATACTACATGCAATATTTATTAAAGAGCACATTCAGTTTAATAAACATATTACTATTTAGAGAAATATATTATCAACGATATATACCATACAGTAGGCAGTAACCATACATTAACAGTAATTACGTGAATATTTGAATCATAATTGCTGTGCTTTTAAGATTATTATAAATTTCACATTTTGAGAATTCATCATTTTACACAGTTAATATACAATGTACTAAAATAATTATTATGTTCGTGATGCTGTTTCTACATTTCCATTTCGCTGCGTTTCCGTTTGTATATTTAGCACTGAATAAATTCAGAAAAGTATAAAGAACTTTTAAAACTTACAAGATCGCGTAATAAAATTTATATGGTAGTTAAAATCTGCTGATATTGGGAAAAGCAGCAAATAATGGCGCTCCGGTTGTTGCGGGTGGTGGTTGTTGATCGCCAATATTTTTCAGTATATTACCTTGTAAAAGACTATCAAGAGCTTTCTGAACCGTCGGATCGTTCAGAAGGGGTGATGGTGTAACTCCTGTAGAAGAGGTTGTTGTAGATGGTGTCACTGCATTTGATGCTGTTAACGTAAAAAAAATATAAATATAAAAATAATTCATTAATATTTCATGAATAGTAAGTAATCTATAAAAATTGTACAATCGCGTAGGCAAATTTTCTAAAGTTTCTTTTCTTTCTAAAGAAATACATATTTAATATTCAAATTTAATGGTAGATGAAATTTCTATTTACTACTGCAAATTTGCATTTATATTAAGTATAGTATAGTATAGTCACACTTTAGTGCCGAAATTTTAATTTGAAATTCAAAATACCTTGTATGTGTAAGCGTATTAATTAATATTAATCTCATCAAGATCTACTTACATTTAAATCCTTGAGCAATGTAACTCTATTTGTAATTTTTTACCTGCTCCCCAATTAGCTGGTGGTACAGGAGTCGGTGCTGAAATCGGTGGTGGAACTGGAGTGGGCTCCACCGTTGTCGATCCACTTTTACTGTTATTTAAGATATTCAATATTCTCGTTTGTAATTCAGCTTGTTTCGGATCGCTGACTGACGTAAGTGATGTTTTCACTGGTAAATCTTTAGCATCACCCAGTTCCACTTGTACTTGTTCCTCGCGCTTCATATCGAGATATTTTATGACACGGTCATATTGCAAGACTGTCAGTTGATGGTTATCAGCCAACATATTGAGAAGAACTTGTATAACATCCGGATGACGCTCGCTCGCAAGAGGCGTATTCAAAGGAACCGAGCGACCACCAGCTTTATAATTCGCGAAATCTCGTGAAATCAAATTTATAGCATCTTCGACAGGCATATTTCTGTGTTCTATAACAATATAACATCGATTAATTCATAACATGTATTGTATATATTCAACCAATTTTAATACTATAAATAGATGAGAACGTGAAACACATTTTACCTTGTGGCAAACCATGTAAAATATTCAGTGTTAAGGAACGATGTTCATGATTGATAGGTGTAACAACTACAGCGTACAAACAGCCACGACTTGCTATATTTCCTAAAACACGACTTAAAGGAACGTCTTCATTTGGAAACAACAAATCTACCATTAAACCAATTTGCTTCAAACGTAATTCAATATCTTCTGCATACTTCCTGTATATTCAATAAATAATATATAGAATATTATTCAAAAATATAATTCAATCAGAAATTATAATTATAAAAATACGGATATCTCACGTTAGCGCTTTATTAACGACAATAATTTCACAGTCATTCTTTTCAGCTGCAATGGCAAGATAATCAGATGATCCACTAGTATTTCTGCAAGATTAATGTTTTGTTGTCTATATTTATATAAAACAATAAATTAAGATAGTAACCATATCTTAATAAGCTCTCGTTAATACTATAAGTGCATATTTGTAAAGCAACTAATTATTTATTTTAATTATTACAAAATTAATTATAAAATGTTACCCAAAATTTGCATTTGTCTCTCTTCCAGAAGCCTTAAACTCGTCGAAACGATTTCCATTGTCATTAAATGAATCTCTGACAAAGTTGTTGCCACGTAGTCTATCTCCTTGTTTGTGATCCCAGTCTCTATTTGTTTTATCTTCCATTCGATTATTTCTATTAATTGGACTTCGATCTCTGAAATTATTTGTATTTGGGTTGTTCTGATTCTGATTATTTTTATTTCTATTCTTTCCACCTCTCGTCCCGCGTGCTCTGTGAACACCACTAGGATTCATTGCTATCCCACCAGCATTTTGGTTTTGGTTATTGCCTGGATTAGTCTGATTTCGATTTTGCATTCCTCCAGGCCTATTCTGATTTCCTATTTGGTTATTTCCAAATTGATTGTTAGCTCTATTTTGATTGCCATGACCGCCACTAAATGATTGACTATTTCCACGATTTGGATTATTCATATTAAATTGATTATTTCCACAATTTTGAGTGGAATTATTAAAATGATCGTTTCCATTATTATTATTATGTTTCCCATTAAACTGATCATTGTCACTATTTCCAGTCTGATTTCCATCGTCAAAATGACTATTTCCACTTCTTTGAACATTCAAGTCCTTTTGGTTATTACCAAAAGTATTATCATTCCCAAAACTCTGATTCATTCCACCTATATAATTTGGTTTATTTGTACCAAATGATTCATTTGAATTATTAAATTGATTATTCATGGAATTAAATTTATTATTTGGTCCACCCATTTGTTTCGCGTTTCCTGCATTCCCACCGCTAGATTGATTATCTTTTTTCGCTGGTCTGACATCTATAAATTACAGAATTTATAGATGTTAAATAGAATTTCCTTTTATTTAGAAAAATAAAAATAAAGCTATACAATTCCATAATGCAAGTTTAATCACACTTATATTTCAAGTACCTATACGTCTGCCTTTAAACATTGCACCATTTTCATTTTGAATAGCTTTTTGCGCAGATTGCTCTTCTTCAAATTGTACAAATCCAAAGCCTCTGTTTAATACTGACGCTATAACAGTGCCATATTTGGCGAAATGTTCCTCCAATTCCAGTTTTGTAACATCGTCTGTTTGCAAGTGGCCCACAAATATACGGCTGGACGCTGTAGCAGGATCTTTTAAAATTCTGGCACTCATCCTGCTTTTATATAAAAAAAAAATTTTTATGGATAAATTGTTAAAAAGGATGAGGAAATAGATGCGGAAATGAAATGAAATTGTAACATATTGTGTCATTGTAACGTGAGACCACCATCTCAAACATATTAAATTATATGTAACATTAATACCTGACGACAATGTCTGCGCTGTGTTGTGGTAGAAGCTCATTGAATTAATATGAAAAATAAATGCGATGAAAGAGATTGCATGTCATTATTGAAACTTACTTCAAACGTCTTGTTCATCAAACTTGATCGCAACACCTTCAGAATCTTCGTCAATCACTATTTGTATGTTTTGGAAAATAATCGTTGTGTATCCCGATTCACAACAGAGACATTTTGTCAAGATGTACATACCACAGCAGTACCAACCATCAACAAAACAAAAGGAACTTATGGAGTTCGTCCTGCGCAATATTAGTTTTCTAGGGATAATATTTTCTTCATCCTTACATCGTCTACATTGCTTACACTTTTGTCCGAGAAATTATTTTCCCATCAATTATTTCTCATTCTGCGTCGAGTCGTACATGACCGTGAAACTTTTTTCGTTTTTTCGAACGCAGCGAATTTCGATGAGGTGTTTCCCTTTCTCAATCGATCCTCTTCTCCTTCTCGTCCAAAGTCTGTTGTTCCCTATCACATCAATAGTCATATGATCGACGTGTGTTCACCACACCTGTATTTTTTCGTGTGCTATGTAAATAACGTTTCGTGTCTCATTTGAGAAATCCGAATTTGAATTTTAATTATCGCGAAAAATGGGTAACAGGTCGAGTCTTCTTTTGCGCGAGGATGAAATAGCACAGATACAAAACGCTACTGGTTGCAAGTATCCATATATGCCTATTCATTTCGCATGAATTCATTAATTCAGATCAACTTATTTTGTAGTAGATCGATTTACTCGATTCATTTAAATAGTGTCTAATGAAGTGAACGAAATAAACGAATGTTTTGGCATTCTCTCTATTATAGTCACTCCGAATCAAATCGAACGTTTGTATAGTCGCTTTACGAGTCTGGACCGCGGAGATTGCGGGACACTCAGTCGAGAAGATTTTCTCAGGATTCCAGAATTGGCGATAAATCCTCTGGGTGAGAGGATAGTAAATGCTTTTTTCGAAGAAAGTGGAAATGACAGAGTGAATTTTCTGCAATTCATGCAGGTCCTGGCCCATTTTAGACCTATCAAGAAGAATAGCCCTAATCGACTAAATTCTAGACAGCAAAAATTAAAATGTAAATATAATGCATTTTCGCAAGTAAATATAAAATAATGGATGATGATAATTAAGATACTAATTAAATTTCTCTTTTTGTTTCTTGTGTTGATTTCATAAAGAAAACTTCATAAATTAAGAATTTATCTTTAAATTAAATGTTTCAGTCGCATTTAAAATGTATGACTTAGATAATGATGATCTAATATCCAAAGATGAACTACTTGCTATTTTACATATGATGGTTGGTGCCAATATCAGGTAAAAATTAATTTCTTTTATAATTGTTAATATATATTGACAACTCTATTGTATCTTCTGTCTCTCCTACATTTTTGTATAATTGAGTCAAATATTAAACATGAATATATATAATAATGAATATATATAATAATTTTAATTTACTTCAGTGAGGAACAACTAATCAGCATTGCAGAACGGACCATAGTCGAAGCTGATGAAAATGGTGATGGCATGATATCGTTTGAAGAATTCTGCAAAGCACTAGAACGTACAGATGTTGAGCAGAAAATGTCCATACGATTTCTCAGTTAAATTGATTTAAATATAAAATATAGTATATAATGTATGATATAAAA